TCCTAGTTTCTTCACTTTTGGGCATCCCTGTACTCCTCAGATGTATTTGTACAATCTTCTATGTTTCTTCATATTGCAGAGGGTTAACTTTTTATTTTTCATGGTCTGAGTATATTCACAAAATGACAATCAGCAACATCAATTTGATGTCAAGAATTCAAATATTCCTCATAGATCTACAAAAGTAATAACCTTTCTTGTTTCTACAGGAGTTTAGGAGATTGAAGCTTTTATGATGCCATTTCGAATTAAAAAAAAGATTGAAGCTGTGGTGATGGAAGGACCTTGATAATGATATCTTGGTGAAGATACTTTAACCTTTTCCAGTTGATATCTGTAATTCCTCAAGTTTGTCGTGCATGGCAATTGGCTTGTTCTGATCAACTTCTCTGGAAAATGCTGGACTTGTCAGTATTGCAATCAAATTTCATCAGATTCCCAAGGAAGGCCGTACGTATATGTCGACTGTCCGTCTCAAGAAAAATTAACCCGCCTCCTAAATATTTGCTTGAACTTCAGTCATGGAAACATACAAACATTGATTTTCCATCACAATATGTATGTTAACGACAATCAGTTGACTTTTACTGCCGAGAAGTATTTCTCCTATAAACTTTCTTCTTTCTATAGTATTATAATTATAACTTAAATCAAGAAACCATACAACAAGCATCGTTTCAGAAATATCAGATGCCCTATAATTTTCCATTGTTCTTACAGGAGAAGCAACAGCTAATTAGATCTCCTCTTTTTCAGGTGTCCACAGCTTAAACGCCTTGTTATGCCTTCTTGAAACAAAATAAAACACCGATCAATATGCAGGGCTATTTATATATGGGAAGATCTTGAATCATTAACGATGCGTAGTATAAAAATTCTGCATATGTCATTGAGGAAATTGCCAGGAGTTGCAAAAAAAATTCTAAGCTAAAGATTATGGGGCCCTGTGATATGTTGTTTGCATCTACACTGGTATCATTTCTATCAAACTTGAAAGTGTTGAGTGTGAGGTGCACAGTGTTATCTAAACCTGGGTTAAAAATGTTGAAAGTGCTCAACATATCTCATTGCATAATTATTGAAGACCCTCCACCCGCACCAATGAAAATTCTGACCAAGCTTGATGAATCAATTCTTGAAAAAGCGTCTAGGTTAGACAAATTCCTAACCTGCATGAGTGACTCATGCATCATGTGTCAACGCAGTTGAAATGATGAAGGGCTGATGAGGTGGTATAAGTATGAAGAAGACCTCTGGAAAGTGGATGAGGTGAGATCTCTTGCAATTTGACAACTTGAAGAATATATTGCTTCCTGAGTTAAAGGTCTGGAGTAAATGTGTAAACTTGTGTATATGAAACAAAATGTAGCTTCGTTATTGTTGTTTGTTAATGGACGAGAATTTTCCAGTTTGCTAGAGCAGCAAGTATTATCGTTTTGTGTTGTTTCATGTAGCACAATACTACTTCGTGCTGTTATTTTGTATGTTTTAAGTCTATTCTCTTCGACAGGGTTCTTCGTGTTTCTATGATCTTATGCTTTTTGTTTCTGTGCTTTTGTAGTACACTGGATTATTTATCCGGTTACATATGTTTGGCTAAGCTTTTGGGACACAGAGTTTATTTTCCCATAAAAAAGTGCATATTTAAAGAAGTGAGGTATTTGGTTAAATTTTTGAGTGAATGAAAAGTAGCAGAATTTGTTTCTTTTGAAGTCGGAAAAAGAAAATTTTCTTCAAAAGTGCTCTTTTTGAAAACACTTTTGAGAGTATATTAAAACCTTGGTCAAACACCAATTGTTGTTTAAAGGGCTTTTTTAAATTAAACACTTTTATTTATGTAGTCAAGTCATACGGATGGTCTTTCCATGTAATTTTCTCAATTAATTAGGCCAACACATTATTTCTCAACTGAAGTTTTTTTTTTTTTGGAATTTTTACATAAATAATATATTTTAATTGATTAATTACGTTTTTTAAATGTGTTAGTTTATTTTTATTACCATATATAGTATAATTTTAGCTTTAATAATCATTTGATACCATATGAGTATATATATACTTTGGTGGTATCAAGAAAGAAAAAGTCACTTCAGTGAAACACTATTAAGTTACTCCTTCATACCATTAGACTGTAATCACTGTATATATACTTTGATGGTATCAACGAGTGATTCAATGAAATACTATTCAGTTACTCCTTGATGTCATTAGGTTATATATATATATATCCTGGTAGTATCAAGTATATATACTCTGGTGGTATCAATGAAGAAAAAGTCACTTCAGTGAAAGACTACTAAATTACTTTTTGATACTATTAGAGTATATCTATACTCTGGTGGTATCAAAGAGTGATCCAGTGAAAAAACTACTAATTTACTCCTTGATACCATTAGGGTATATATATACTCTGGTGGTATCAAGAATAATTCAGTGAAAGCAGGGGTATATAGTATCAAGTATTGAATTCAAAATGTACTATAATTGTTGTTTATTTTTTTTTATTTTTTTTATTAAATGATATTAAAAAGATATTATACCTGAATTTCAAATATTAAAAAATTATTCAAATTAGTTTATGTGTTATTATATAAACTATAGTTGTAATACAATTTGAATTCAATATTATACATTGTTATAAATTCGATTGTTGTTATTCCAAAAAAATATAATACATTTTAACAACGTAAAATTAATTTAAATTGTACCGAAATATCAGAAATTTACACATAATACTTATAATACATTTGTATTAAAAATATTTTAGTTATATATTCAACACGTACATTGGAACATGCTTATAATATGTATCATATACTGAATTCAAATGTATTACAATTGTTTTTTCCCTCTTATTAACGGTGTTAAAATACATTATTGTATTTAAAATATTTTAGTTATATATTCACAATGTGCATTGAAAAATGCATATAATATGTATAATGTATTGAATTCAAAATATATACAAGTATAATTTATATTTTTTAATTTTAGTAATGATGTCCATATTTTTTTTAAAATAAAATGTTAATCTTCAAAACATCCATAAACATAAAAATAATTAAAATTTAAAAAAGAAAGCTAAGAGAGAAAAAATGACTGGAAAAAAAAATGAAAGAGAGAGAAAAGGATGGAAGAAAAGAGAAAGAGAAAGAAAATGATGGAATAAAAAAAGGAGAGAGAAAAAATAAACGAAGAAAAGACAAAAATGAAAAAGAGAGAATGATGGTTGAAAGGAGAAAGAGAAAGAAAATGATGGAATACAGAAAAGGAGAGAGAAAAAAATAAACGAACAAAAGATTTCAATGAAAGAGACAGAAAATGATGGAAGAAAAGAGAAAGAGAAAGAAGATGACGGAATAAAAAAAGGAGAGAGACAAAATAACCGAATAAAAGACAAAAATGAAAGAAAAAGAAAATGATGGAAGAAAAAAGAAAGAGAAAAAAAGACGGAATAAAAGAAAAGGATAGAGAAAAGATAACTGAAGAAAAAACAAGAATGAAAGAAAGAAAATGATGGGGGGGAAATGAAAGAGAAAGAAAACGTACTAATGCAAGAAAGAAAATATAAAGAAGAGAAAATAGGAAACAAATTAGACAATTAATGGAAGAGAAAAAAATGTTTTGTTATTTTGGATAATAAAACTAATGCTATTTTCGGTAAGAGAACATATTATATCATAATTCGTAATTAAGGGCCAAGAATACCCTTAATCTATTGAAAAAGGTTCAAAAATACCTTTCATCCTCCTTTTGGTCTAAAAATATTCTCCGCTTATGCTTTTGTTTTTGTTTGAAAAATACTCATTCTTCCACCTTTTGGTCTAAAAACATCCTCAACCCAAATTGAATTGAATTTTTTTTACTAGTTAGCTAATTCTTTTATTTGTTTTAATGATAATATTTTATTTATTCAAATTTTTAATATTAGTTCATCCCAAAGTATTTAAATTATTTAAGTCTAACTATATTTAAAATTTCTATTATATAGAATGGTGAAGACGACCATGACGACCAATGGCAATTTCGAAAATCTAATATGATTGAAGGGCAGAATAGTAATTATTCCTTATCTATTAGAATGGATTTCTAGAAGGACATGGACCTTTCTTTTCCATTCCTAATCAGCAAGAGTCTCTTTCTTTCCTTGACCAGAAAATAAATTAAAAAGATCTTTTTAATTTTCATTTTCTGCAGAAGTAATACAAAGTATGACTTTTCTTTCATCAGTTTTCATTTTCAGTAGTAATACAAGATATGTTTTTTCTTTTAAATTTCTCAAATGCTTTCTTCTTCATTCATATTAAGGTTGTTGTTCAAGACCATATGAACATGTCCCTCAATTCGAATATCACACTGTAGATATAATCAATATCCATAAAAATGTCTACATCAATTCACCCAATTTTCTTAGAATCTTGTGTTCTCTCTTTCAATTACTTTGTAGTTTTGTTCCCAAATATAATGAAGGGTGTGAATTTGATGAAAATATTTTGTAGGAAATAATAAATGGACAAGCATTTTCATAATTTTGGAGGAAAAAATATAGTTAGAGATCGAGGGATAGGAATATAAGAGAGAGAAGGAATTGTTTGGAGTTGCAGGGAAAGTGAGTGGGCTTGTTTCATAAAAAAATCTTATCTGCACTAATCCACATAATTTTTCTTACCTTATTAACCATTTGTTTCAAAAATCTAACCTTACATTGATATTTCATCAAGAAAGTAAAATTAGATGCAAAGAAGAAACAGCAACAATAGGAGGGTGCATGTTTGGAAAAAGAAAGATGAAGAAGCAGAATAGATGGATATAAAGATCTTTAAGGGTATATTTGTTATTTACACAATATTTTTTAATTTAATTTTTGTTATAATTGTACTTGTCCCCAAATTCTTTCCACGTGGCAAAAATATCAAATCTAAATGCCAAACTATCTTTCTCTAGAAATTTCCATTCATGCTTTAAATAATTTTTTAACGCTTCATATCCTTACCAACAATTTTTTTTTTCTATAGAAAGGTGAAGACCAAGGACGACCAAGGGTAAAATAGTAAATTTAACCTGGCAAATACACTCTCTCCATAATTCTAGAACACTCCATCTTCCTCTTTAGCACAAAATAGACGCAATATTTTCAACACAAGAATCAGTTCTTCCCTTTCTCTTGCTCCAACTCCAACAACAACGAATTACAGGTATGTTCTTCTTTCAATTTTGCAACAAATTTCTTCCAGTTCTTTTCGAACTTTTAAATTTTACCACTAAAATATAGGTTTGACATCGTTATTATTCTGTCTAATTCTCTCCCCCAATTTTATAATTGATGTAAAGATTTATGTTGTCCTCACACATATATGCAAAAAAAAAAAATATAGTTGTAGATATATATCTAAGAAATAATAAATTACTGTCTGGTCCAGTAAATAGTTTATCAACAATAGGTTATCCATGACTTAACAAACATGGTAATGTGTATTCAATTACTTTGTAATCTACCTCTATATTCTCTGTCTAACTCTTTCAAGATTCCTTCTATGGAAGATAGACAATTGTTAGGTCTATAGTGATTATGCCCTTTCGACCAAGATTGAAATTGTATTGTTCGGATTGATGACTAAATTGATGACTAATGGAATGAGGGCTCATCTTCGTTCACTCTGCGAAAATCTCATGCATTCAAACCTACACTCACAAAATTCTGTGAGCTCATTTTATTATTTTTTGATATCTTCCTTTGCGGTAAGAAAATTACTATTGTTAGTTCTCTCTAAGAATTATGTTGCTATTAATTGCACAAAATAAAAATGTTAAGATGAAGTTTGATTATATCCTAAACTTTTATGAAGTTTGTAATTGCTTTTTGATGCTCATAAACCATTTTAGATATAATAATTTCTATTAGATAATATTTCCTTAATTTCATACCACACTCTCAAATCTCTTCATCTTCTCAGGTATCACCGTATTAAGCATATGATTCTTTTACACTTTTTACCCAAATCATTTTCAAGCTCAAGTTGGGTATCCATCTTCCTTAAACTTGTTCATCTCTTTTGTGCTCAAACTAGGTATTCGTGTTTACTATCAATTTGTTTGCTAGAGTGGGTTGCTTAACTATGATGATAATACCCTAAACTCTTGTTACATATGTGTGCATATATATTTTTCTATATATATTTCTATTCTATTTCTATTATATAGAAAGGTGAAGACGACCATGACGACCAATGGCAATTCCGAAAATCTAATATGATTGAAGGGCAGAATAGTAATTATTCCTTATCTATTAGAATGGATTTCTAGAAGGACATGGACCTTTCTAAAATTGCCTCTTCCTTTTAAGAGAACACAATTTCCTGTACGATTATGTTTTGCCATGACTATAAATAAAGCTCAAGGACAGACATTAGATTTTGTTGGTATATATTTACGGGAACCTGTCTTCTCTCATGGACAATTGTATGTTGCTTTATCAAGAGCAACAAGTTCTCACAATGTTAAAGTATTAATTAGACCACCTATAATTGATGAAAATGATGATCATTCAACATATAATGTTGTCTATAATGAAATTATTGAAAAGGCCTTTTCTTGAACTTTGTGCTTTAATTTGCAATGGTAAATCTCATATACAACTTACTTATGTTTATCTATATTATAATATTGCTTTCATTATACATTTACCTTTAGCTTATCCTCTTATAATGTATTTTAATTGCAGATAGTTCAACATGGCGGAAAGATATACCATCAATATGATCACTCCAACTACTAAAAATTGGACATGTAAGGTCCAAGTTGTTGATAAAAGTCGACCAAGGGACAACAAAGATAAAACCACAAAATACCAAGTCTTAATTCTACAAGATGAAGAGGTATTTATTTTTATTAATTTATTATTGATTTTAAAAGCGTAACTTTACTTCATCAGTTAACTAAATAATCCATTATTTTATATTTTTACTTTAATAATATGAAAAATAATAAAATAACTTTTAAATTTTACACAACTAATCAAAAATTTTACAAATTCTTTTATAGGAGAATCAAGTTCAGGCCACTATTTACAGTACTGATATAACATATTTTGAAAAAGAATTTGTTCCTTTCAAGACTTACTTGGTATCTGTTGCACATGTGAAAGTACCACCTCTTGGATATGAAAATCCACTTAATAAATTCATTTGGACACTCGATTAAAACACCATTGTTGAACCAGTTGAAGAGGTCAAACCTCCTCAGGATCCATTACCACCACCAACACGACTAGCTCTTACCACATTTGACACTTTTGTGTATCAACCCAAAGAATTTGAATTTGGTATTTATAAATTTATTTAATTATTCTTATTATTCACATAAAATCCATTGTTACTATAATAGAATATTTCTCATGATCTAATTATTCTTTGTTTATTTTTGTTTAATGCAAGATGTACTCGCCATTGTCATTAATGGCAGTCCTTCAACAAAGACTGCAACTGAAAAACGAATTCAAGAGTTTATTATCATGGACAAGCTGTAAGTATATATAGAATATCACTCTTGTCATTTATCTTCATATCTTATTATTTGTTTTCAAAGAAAGGTTCTTTTTGGTTGATAGTGTTTTTTTTTTCTTTTCCATTTTCGTAGTTGATGTATATACTTGTATTTAATAAAGTGATTAATTCTTTCGAGTTTCAGTAACGTTGTCTTTGTAGTCGTCTTCTCCAAATGGTTACTACTTTTTGGGAGTTTAATTGTAGTTTTAGGAGTGTTCTTGTTTATTTTTGCGAAGATTGTCTTTTTCTTCTTCTTTTTTGGTTTGTTTGTGCATCTTACCCTCTCTTTTGTTAAAGTAATGTCATTGAATAGTCCTTCAACAAAGACTGTAACTGGAAAACTAATTCAAGAGTTTATTATCATGGATAAGCTGTAACTATATATAGAATATTACTCTTGTCATTTATCTTCATATCTTATTAGTTGTTTTCAAAGAAAGGCTCTTTTTGGTTGATAGTGTTTTTTTTTCTTTTCCATTTTCGTACTTGATAGTCTCCAGCGATTTCCACTCCAAGTACACCAATCCAACAGAAACCCGGACGCATAGAAGTAAAATAAGTTTATTTGTAATGGTAAAAGTGACAATTTGTCATGGGTAGAAAGGAAAGAAGTGCCACAACTTCATGATCAGTTGCAGAAGAATTTGTCTACATAAATATGTAGAGAAATCTGAAATTATCTTTCTAATAGTTGTGTCTATGTGTCTCTTACAACTCTGATTTAATCCATCACTTAAGAGATCTGCGGTGGTGATCTTTCCACGTGTTTTGTTGACCTTTTCTATATCAAAATGTTGTTTAAAACTTTGTGAACTCCTTATTTGCTTTTTATGTTGTTCCTTGTTCATCTTCTTCATTCCACTAGCTTCTGTAAAAATGCCATAACCATGAAAGTTTCGATCTTGATTCTAAACATAAACCTGATGCAATAATTCATTGAGACCTGAAGCCTGATCCTGACGCAATAATTGATTGAGACCTGAAGCCTAATTCTGTTAAGTCTTTCTGGCTGTTTCACGGTCTCATGCTATGTTTGTTTATTGGTGGCTGAAGTAAGCCTGTTCAATGTCTGGAAAGCTTTTAAATTCTGAGTGAAATGGCAAACATATTATGGGATGAATCTGGATATGTGAAAGTTGCAGATCTGCCTACTTTATACCATGTTTTAGTTATTCTTGTGTTTACTTGCTTTTTTTGCTTTTTGCTAAATAATATTGTATATAAACAATTGGTTTTAGGTTCAAAAAGTTCTCATGGTTCTACTGTAGTCAATCAATAGAGTGAAGTAAAGGTTCAGTTTTAATAAGGATTGATCTTATTCCTGGTTTGTTCCTGCCCTTTATATTTTAGATGAATTAACTTCCCAATATTGTGGAGATAATCTATTAAAAAGAAATATACTGGTTGCCCTGTTTGATTTGTTTTCTATGGTATGATTTTCCGTTATTTCTTAAAGCACTTTGAATACCTGTAGTACTTTGATAGATTAAAAAGTTCATCAATTTCGCTGTCCAACTCAACTCTTTTCTTTGTTCGTGGATCTTATATTTTGACTTTTATAGCACAAAAATGCTGGTATTTATTGATAATATAATCTGATTTCAATTTTATTATTTATAATGTTTTTACAATATCACATATCTTCTGCAACTTTAATGTTTGAAAACATCCTTCAAAACATATGCAGGAAAAAACCAACAAAACTGACACTTTGGGAGGATTTTATTGATCATGAGGGACTTAAACTTTTCAACCAACTTCATGATTACCCAATCATTCTTGCTAGGAAAATTGGGAAATCATCCTCAGGTAAAAGTGCAAATAATTTTTTTTTCCTTTATTGAAAAATAGATGACATGATGAAACTAAAATGACATATTCAAATGCACATAGGAACGTCGAATAGATTCGTTGGTTTGACGAGCAAATTCAATACAACAATTGAAATCAATCCTTCATATCCACATGCAGCTGAGTTAAGGACGTGGTAATATACATTTTTATTTAATGCATCAAAATTTCAGAATATTTTGAGATATAAAACACATCTTTAATCTTACAATCACAAAGTTTTAAAATTTCACTTTTATTTCTTTTTTCATAATCTTTCTACAAGACATATGTAATAAAATGAAGATAGTAGTATTCTTATTTGTTTTTGATAAATGTATGGACCGTAGACTTCTTTACAATTCTTTTTACAATTTTCAAAACAATACAAGTATTTTGGATGAACTAATATTAATAAATTTTCGTATTTTTACTTGTTTATAGGATCAAAACAATTGAAACAAAGCTTGTTTCTTATAAGATGAAAAGTACAACTCCAATAGGCTCTATTATGTTGATTCCATTTGAGGATGAAGTTATATTTGTGGCTAACATCCAGGCACAACCTCCAGTGAGAACAACAAGTATATTAATCTATTTTAATTTTTTTTTAATTTCCCAGTAAAAAATAATATTTGGTATATTCAATTTGAAGGGACAAGTATTTAATGTTGAGGCTGAATTGTCCCTTGCAAGTAAGGATCAACGCTTTAGTGTGTTAGCATGCTCAAATTGTAAGCAATTGTTCACGAGATATAACGTGCAAAGGGAAATATACTGCACAAATTGTCACCTATCCACACATCTTATTCCTAGGTATATTTGCTCTTCTACAAAATTAATAATAACTAATTAAGATTATTTATTTTGTTTGTTCAAAGAAATAAATGTCTTAACTAACCATTATTTTAAAATATTTTTATTAATTATCAAAACAAATGTCAATTTGAAGTTACTATTAAGGACAACAACGGTTTTGCAACAGCTATTGTTTCGGATGAAATTGCAGAGAAAATGTTGCACCTCACTTCAGAAGAAATTTATGAAATTTGCTTCGTCAAGGTACATATTACTTTTTGCTCACCAAATAATCACAAAAAACCTGTTCTGATTTTGTATTTTCTTATAAACTCTGCCGCTGGCCTGTAACAGTTAAAGGAATCTACGATGAAATGTTCTAACTCACTACTGTCTAAATTAAATGCACATAATAACATCGCAAGTAGTAATCCTAAAAAATATCTACCCTACATTATAAAGTAGGCTATAATCTTATCTTGCGTATGAAATTATGTAATTATCAATTACTTATTTTTAGATTACTAATCATATATGTATATATGTAATTAAATTATGGCCAATTACTTTCTTTAATTACGTGAAAAATATACTATCTAACTTTTAAGAGTTTCAACTAAGTGAACATATGACTTCCTTAACTTGAAAAGGATACTATAGCTCTATAGGCTTAGAATTCTAGCAATAGAGAATTTGTAATAAAGATTCATTTTGTATAATGTAAGTTGTGAAGACCTTTATAGTAGGAAGAACTTGAGCTCACAGCTTTCCAACAATATCTCGTCAGTTCCTTATCAAATAGCATAGAATGTTGTAAATGATGAGGGAATGGAAACTTACCTTCAATAGACAAATATCTCGTGAATCACCCAACTTATACTTTTTGTTGTCTGTTTACAGTTAACTTTCTTTATAAAAATATTATTATTGTATATATTTTTTTGGCTTTTATCCATCTCACATAGTTACCCATTGGCTGAGAACTTTGTGCCTAAGCTGTCATGCGAACCTACCACAATAGGCGTCACCGTTTTAGAACTGCTGCATGTGTGGCTTTGATTAGTTGAAAGACCTTTAATATTGAATTTGAGTTCAGATGTAAATACATAAACATAGAGATATTGATTTTCCTTTAAAAACAAATTTAATATCTTTTTTGTGATTCACTTTTCTTTCCTCATCCACTTTTTTTTTTTTGAAAATTCATGATCCTTGCATATGATATTGTTGTTGAACATCTTCTTTTATGGTAAAAATATCGGATCTCTTTCGATTTGTCTATTCGCTTTATTTCTTATTATTATATATATAATATATAAAATATTAATGATTTTGTTATTAATAATCATTCTTTTCCATTTTTTCAGAAAGAAACATTATCGCTCCAAAATGTGGAAGATGAATTGAACGGCAAGATATTCAACATTCAAATAAAAAGGCTATTCACAAAAAATTTGGATGCAACGCAAAAATTATCCATTTTGTCTTACCTGGAAAAACAAGATGTGATTCATAAATCAATGGCATCTACGACAGTCAATATTACAGATGCGAAAAAGCGCACAATTGAACATCTTAGTTCAGGGGAAAAGAATATCCAAGCATGGAAATGAAAAATCCTCCCATGAAAAAGAATTAAAAGGTATTTGAATTATTTTGTACATTGTTTAAAAGTTCATCTTTTGCAATTGACTAATATAAATAGGATTTACTTCTCTTTGTATTTATTTTCTTTGAATTCAATTCAGTCTCTAGACACAGTATCTTTGACTGTTTTGAATTGCAGTTGGAACACTTTTGTTGTGCTTCTCAAAACAGTCATGTTTTGCACTCTTTTGTTGCTGCCACTGTATGCCGTGTTTTGCAAGCTTTTGATGTTGCTATGTGGATGCCTTATGTTCCTGTTCTTTTGCGGAAATTGAAAATATTTTCTCCTATAATAGCAGCTTAGTTAAAAATTATCTTTTTACAGGTACTCCATTTATCAACTTAAATGAAAATATATTCTTTCTGCTGTTATAATTATTGTTATCACTGAAGACTATTGTGTTCATTTTTAGTTCCTAAAAGATGATGTAACTTTCCTCTATTGATCTTGTTGGAATAACCACCTTAAACTGATAGAATCAAAAACTACAATACGAAATAACAGTTAGTAATTAAAAACTTGTGATATCAAACCTGTTTGGTAAAACTGTTTGCGTATTTTGATTTATATTTCTTGTGCAAATTTGTCTAAATTAAAAATAACAAGATATAATTAATCCTCTTATATCTATATTATAATTTGAATCTTTCAACCATAGAAAGACTTTGATTATCCTTGATTAATGTTTAGTCCATGATTTCACATTATCTATCTAGAAAAAGATGATGAGAATAATCCTATCTACTATATGCAAAGCTTGGGAAAGCTTTATGCTAATTCTAGATGAGACTTAGTACTATATACTCTGCACATGTTATGTTATTTTATATTTTTCTTGTGATGAACCCTATATGGTTACGCTCACTCTCCCCCTACCCTCCAAATCAGTCAATTATCACTTTCTGTATGAAGTAAGCCTCATTAAAATAATAAAATTGATCCAAATTCTGCCATAGACTTTGGTCAAACACTGTTACTGCCATGCTATTTCTCAATACTATATAAACTTTACGAATTCTTATAATTTTTCATCAGATTTTATTTTTACATCATACTATATTTTCTTTGTCTATATGAGTTAAAATTTTAGTTCAGTTACTCGGTTTCTACCTCTTCATGATTAATCGATACTTGAGATTCTTACAGTCGCGATCATATGTCCATATAGTATCCGATTGTGAATCTCTTGAACTAAATTTCTCCAACACAAGTTTAAACTAAATTAAAGAAATTTCATAATTTTTTGTCCAGATTGATTAATCCTTTGACATTACCGTCACAATTTTGAATCAATTTCTTTATGAATAATGCTCCTTTAGTCTTATATATAATATAGTTTGAGTTGTATCTTATGAATTACCAAGATTTTCTTCGTCTATATGGGTTAAAATCTTGGATGAGTATTGTCATTTTTTAAGCCTATTGAGCTTTGTTCAAGTTTGTTTGGTCAAATTGTCATTGTGTTTTCTTAACTGTTTTTTTCCAATCTTTTACTATAATATTAATCTTTAACTTAGATCTCATTTCATACATTTGTAATTCATGCTTTAAGTTCTAAACATTTGGCTTTGTTTTTTTCTTTCACTACTTCTCATCATGCTCATTATATGTTGTATAAATTATGTGATTCTGTGACATTTAATCCCTCAATTTTAATGTAACAGGTGATTTTGATCAAAGATGATCCAGAAAATCCAAGCATGAAAGATGCATCTGTTTTTTGTCTAATTTAAAATAGTATGTAAATGCATGTAATTAGCACTCCCACATAAGGAAATGTTAAACTATGTAAGTATCTCACTGAATATATAATGAACAAATTTGGCAGCTATAATGTGTTTAAACTCATTAATTATAGATCCATTATAAATACGCCAGTATTTTTCTTGATTTGATATCCTATTGTTTGAAATCGAAATGTACATGGAAAGTAGCCACAATGTTTTATGGCTAACATGTATTTGTATGTATGGAACTAATTCCAAACTGAGATTTTAGTATTGAAGGGGATTTTCATCTTGGTTAAGGAATCTTGGTCAAATGTATTGTCTTGCTACTGTATAATTTTGTGTTTTATTGCAAACCCCTTTTACTCTACTGGGGAAAATCAACGAATCCCAGATAAAGTTCGAGTTTTCGATGTTTTGATTGTTATTTTTAGTTACTTCCTATTATTGTGTAGCTATGGCTAGATTCAAGAGCAAAGTGAATTGTTTTGGTATTGTAGAATTTTGTGTATTGCAACCCCTTCTACTCTCCTGGAACATTGATGGACCCCAGATATCAAACAGAAGTAAAATTATGATAAAATTTTAAACGTTGGGCCTGTGCTTAGCACGGGCAACACTCATCTAGTACAAAAATAAATTTGTTATGTTGTCAATATTTTTAGTAACAGGGAATAAAGGAAAAAGACAAAATTTGACTAATCATATACGTAGCTAATATTTAGGATTTAGATATGATTAGTAACCGTAAATAAGAAACAAAAAAGAATTTATTTTTTTCAAAATTTCGTGATGGGTGTCCTTATTTTGGACCACTGATTGTAAATAGGGAAAAATGAGTTTTTTTTTATACTATTATTATTATTATTATTATGGGTCAGTGACAACGGTAAATAAGACATAATAAAGGGGGGTCTGTTTTTGTCAAATTTTGTCGTTTTCTTACTCTTTTTTACTAAAATATTTGATAACGAGAATTTTTTTAAATTTTAAATATGATTAGACTTAATAAGTTTTTAATATTTTGAGATGAGCTAATATTAAGAATTTGAATAAATAAAAAATTATCTTTCAAAACAACTAGTTAGTAAAAGAATTTAATTCAATTGAATTTAGGTTGAGAGTATTTTTAGACCAAAAGATGGAAGGAGGAGCATTTTTAAACCAAAAGCAAAAGTGAAGAGTAATTTCCCTGGATAGTCACCCATGTTTGGGAAATTACCTTGGAATATCACTTATGTTTGTTTTAGGACCACAATATCACCCAACTTTACCTCTTTTTCTTAAAATATACTTACACAAAAAAAACATTATCTCTCTCCTAATAGGATGCCATGTCACATTATTCCTTTTTCATTATTAACATTTTTTTAATTCAAAATTAGACAACCCATATTATCTAGTAAAAAAAAATTACATAGCCCAAAAATTTCTACCCTAGTTCTAGGGGATTAGGCGGCAAATCCAAATATGAGCTCCTCCGATTCTTCAAGAAAATATGTGGCTACCTCCGATTTTTCAAGCGAGACAATGTTTTTATATGGGCACTAATGAGCAATGACACCTTTTTGTTGAGTTCGGAGCCAAAAGTGCAACTTTTTTTCTTTAAAAAACAAAAACGGCACATATAAAAAAAAATTAACCAAAAGGGCAAAATCGATTTTGTTCTGACAAAAATTGACGCCGCATCGCTAAAAGAAATAAAAATCGCTGCCGATTTTCTCAAAAAAATATCCTACCCTTGCAGAGAATTTAATAAAAATTTAAAAAATAAATAACATTGAAGCCAACGATTTTCATAAAAAGTTTTTTTAAAAAAAAAAA